TATCCAGTCARAACAGGATCACTGCAGGCTGAGACAATTGGATCAGGCATACACTTTGTGCATTTTTTTTATTTTTAGCTAATTATTTTCTCATTTGAGAATGTTTGAAATTCCATCTCATGTAGCTGATTTAAGACGTTTGACAGCAGAATACTGAATGTCCAAACTGCTGATGATCAAAGAGCATTTTACAGATACCTGTGTGCGCCCTGCACCACCTCACCACTGAGTAACCACACCCTTTTTCTTCTCAGCACCTGGCGCTCAAAGCTGTCTTTCTCCTAAGCTCCTGCCATATTGGGCGTTTTCACTCCACACTTTTCCTTGATGAAACACACAGACTTGAAAGACAAACATCAAACTATATAATTAACGCTGGGAAGAAGTGGAGTGAAGCTCACGGACATGTKAAGCAGTGTTGGGTGGCACAGTGTTGTTTCTCAGTGAGGAGGATGCAGGATCGCCTCGTGGCCTAAGCCTTTCTGAGGGGAGTTTGCATAATTTAATTCCCTGTGAACGTATACATTAACACAGAATGTGTGTTTAAACCCGCCTGTAATCCAGATCAGTCTCTAAATACAAACTTTTGTCACACTATGTTGAGCAGAAACATGCAATAACAGCTGCAAACTATTGAGCAGATAAAACTTTATATTCAGTCACAATGATTTTTATTTTATTTCAGATCATCTAAATTAAATATTATGATTTGTGCTTAAAACATTAAAAAGACACCTTTATTTTCTGTTAGTTACTGAATATAAAAGACTGGTCTATTCTGATGCATCAGATGTATGTTTGTAGTTTAACGCAGTGTTAAATCATCCATCCATCCATCCATCCATCCATCCATCCATCCATCCATCCATCCATCCATCCATCTTCTTCCTCTTATCCAGGGGTCGGGTCACGGGGGCAACAGCCTAAGCAGAGAGACCCTGACTTCCCTCTCCCCAGTCACTTGAGCCATCTCCTCTGGGGGAATCCCAAGGTGTTCCCAGGCCAGAGAAACATGGTCCCTCCAGTGTGTCCTGGGTCTTCCTCTGGGTCTCCTTCCAGTGGGACCTGCCTGAAACACCTCACCAGGGAGGCATCCAGGAGGCATCCTAACCAGATGAGTCACCTCAATTGGCTCCTCTCGACGTGGAGGAGCAGCAGCTCTACTCTGAGTCCCTCCTGGATGACTGAGCTTCTCAGCCTATCTCTAAGGGAGAGCTCAGACACCCTGCGGAGGAAACTCATTTCGGCTGCTTGTATCCGTGATCTCGTTCTTTTGGTCACTAACCAAAGCTCGTGACCATAGATGAGGGAACGTAGACCGACCGGTAAACCGAGAGCTTTCACCTTAAGGCTCAGCTCTCGCTTCACCACGACAGACCGGTACAACGCCCGCATCACTGCAGACACAGCACCAATCCTCCTGTCGATCTCCCGCTCCATTCTTCCCTCATTCATGAACAAGACCCCGAGACACTTAAACTCCTCCACTTGGGGCAGGACCTCCTCCCCGACACAGAGAAGCTACCCTACCCTTTTTCAGCTCAAAACCACGATCTTGGATTTGGAGGTACTGATCTTCATCCATCAATGAGAGCTGGAGATCACGATCTGATGAAGCCAATAGGACCACATCATCCACAAAAAGCAGAGATGGGATCCTAAGGTCACCAAAAAAGATCCCCTCAACACCTTGGCTGCGCCTAGAAATTCTGTCCATAAAAGTTATGAACAGAATTCGTGACAAAGGGCAACATTGGTGGAGTCCAACTCCGACCGGAAACGAGTCTGACTTACTACCGGCAATGTGGACCAAGCTCTGACACCGGTCGTACAGGGACCTAACAGCCCGTATGAATGGGTCTGGTACCCAAACTCCCCACTTGAGTCCTCGAGGGACATGGTCGAATGCCTTCTCCAAGTCCACAAAACACATGTAGACTGGTTGGGCGAACTCCCATGCACCCTCCAGGACCCTGCTGAGGGTGTAGAGCTGGTCCAGTGTTCCACGACCAGGACAAAAACCACACTGCTCTTCCTGCAGTGGATTCAGTTTGAGACAGGCACTGAGCACACAGCTCCAGGATGTTTCAGATAACTGACTTGTCTTGAAGTAAAAGTGATGTAAAAAAACGAACACTCATGGCACATTTTAACAGCAGGGGAAAGACAAAAAAAACCCTCATTTATCTCTCAAACAAGCTTGTTTGGTTAAAATAGTTTGAGCACAACATCCTTTCTATGACCTGCTCTGGATTTTTCTTTTAAATCAGATGCATGACAGAAATGTCCTTGCAGTCATCTCTGTTTAAAGCTGGGAGGAAGAGGAGCTGATGTGAAACAAGAAGGTTCAAAATATGAGTGAGCGAAGAAATTTGATCCCGTCTAAAAATCCAACCGTTCTCGTCGACTAACATTACACCATCGTTTGAGAATCTTGAAGTTCTCACGGGATTCTCAGACATTCGCAAAAAAAAAAAAAAGAACACAGCAAACAAACATATTGATTTCTTTCACATATCAAACATCAGCCAACGTTCTGAGAGCCACACCCTGAATGAGTCTCCATCATAACATCAGTAACCATTTGGCGTTATTTTAAGTTCGCCAGGGAGGTCAGAGTCCGGACCTGATAACACCTGTTTCCACAATGACTCTCTTTGTTCTGCTATTCTCTGTTTGAACTGCTTCCTTCTCCCTGTTTCTTTCCTGAGTTGTGTGTTTTCTTGTTTCTAGGTGACAGGAATTACACAAACTTCATACTACGCTGTTGAAAAATGTCCAGGGCAAAGATTAGTCAACCATCTGGGTGTGTCGCCTTAAAAAAAAGAAAAGGAAAAGAAAGAACCTCCTTTGGGAAACTGTGGGGTCATTTGCCACATTTAGTCCTACAACTTTCACATTCATCTTGCTTGTTGCATGTTTGTATTGTTAGCAAAATATCTCATGATCTAAAGGACACATTTTAATGAAATTCTCAAAAAGTAATCACTGGTTGGACCTCTTTAAAGGACTAACTTTTGAGGTTAATCCCATTCAAGATGGCTGCCACAGCTAACTTAGGGAACTTAACAAACACAAAAATGGTTATAATGCAGTGTTTTTTAAAAATAGTGAGATTGAATTGATTGAACAATTGAATTGAACAACTGAACAATTGAACAGAAGTAGTCTTTGGAGGAGAATCAGTTTTGTAGTCATGAATAATTGCCACCCATTTCATACTATTGTGATTGTTTATTCTTGTTTTATGTCCTGATAGTGTTAAGTTCTATTTTTATATGTTGCTAAAGCAGGGGTCTGCAACCTGCGGCTCTGGGGTCACATGTGGCTCTTTGGTCCCTCTGCAGCGGCTCTTCGAAAACAACAGAATAATTTTTTTGTTTGTTTTTATACCCACAAAAGAAATCAATTTATATGCAAAAATGTGATCAGTACTACTAAAACAAAAAGTAAAACATGTTGATTAGCTCATGCTAGCCTGTTGTTTACTTAAATAATCCAACTTCTTTTTATGATCTTTCTCTAAAATCCATCAATTACCTTTAAAATTTTTAAAGACTACATAATAAGAAGAGTTAGAAAAAATATAGCTGAATAGTTCAGTTGTGCTAGTTTTCATGAAAGTCGGTAAAAACTACAAACTATTTTTCTTTTACTTGAATCTGGTCTTTTCATTTGTCCTGATCTGTAAAAATAACAAAGAATAATAAAATTCACAATATATTTGTTTGTTTTATAATGTCACCTCCACTGGCCGTAAAGGTTACCGAAAAGGCCTCGAAAAAGTCCACGGACCACCAGTTGATAATTATAGTTGTAGCTTGCTTTGCGGCTCTGGACACTTTTTATCAGTGAGCCAAGTAGCTTAAATGGCTCTTTTGATCGTAAAGGTTGCAGACCCCTGTGCTAAAGGCTCATCTGGGGGGCATGCCTTGCAAATTATCCTTGGCTGTAGATGTTATAGTGAATGGTACTTAACATGTCCGCATATAAATAACGATGAATGAAGTGAAACTCTAAGAAAGTAATAACTGGACGGACCTCTTAAAATGACTAACCCCATTCAAAAAAGCCACCACAGCTATAAGAGACTTTAGCAAACACAAAAATGGTTATAATTCCATTATTTTCTTAAATCCTGAGATAATTTTAATGTGGTAGCAACTGAGAGTTTTTCACAACCCATCCTGAAATAAGACAGATTTGTTTTTTAAACTACTGTCTTTTAGCAAAATATCTCATGAACAATTGGACTGAAATAGCTTTTGAAGGAGAACCAGTTTTGTTCATTTTATTTTCATATTATTGTGATTTGTTTAATCTTGTTTTATGTTTAGTCTCAATAGTTTTATTATTTTTAAACTTTATATTAAACTGTGTTGTGTTGCCAAAGGCTCATCTGGGGGTGTGGATTGCAACTTAGCCGAAGCAATAAATGTTGTAGTGTATGGTATTTGTTAATACTTTACAGTTGTCCCTATATACCGGTATATAATAATAAATTAAATAAAACTCTAATCATATGTGCACAGCTTATTAACCTTTTATGTCAAACTAATTTAAGATGTTCGGTCACTTTCATATACTGAGCTAACCCTAGTGGTATTTGAGAGTCATCCTCAACACATTTTCTCAGCACAGTCTCATTTATCAGTAACTCATAATATAAGCTACATCTTATTCTAAATCTCTGTCATGAAAGGTACCAGGCAATCCTTCAAGAAATGCAAGGTCTTCACTTTAGTTTGTTTTTACTGTTATCCCAGTGAAGCCTTTCCTCTGGATCCTAAAGCTTTCCCCTCTGCATCTCTCACCAATTGTTTCCCTCTTCCTGACAGCAGCCCGTTACGTAAGCTAGGTTTCCGCAACCTCGAATCCCACCTCCCAAAATGTAATGCAGTTGCTACGGAGACTGCACAAACAGAGTGATGTCATGGAAAAAGAACCCGATGAGGTTCTCGCGAAGGGGGGTCCAGTAAAGTCTCAGAGCGACACAGTGCTTATGGTCTCCAGCAGATTTATTTTTCAGACAGCTCTCACACAAACACACACAGCCAGTACTGCACCTCTGCTTTAGAGGAGTTGGATTACAAACATTTAGACAGGTTTCGTTTCAACATTTTTTTTTCTGCACAGTTTCTCTCGTCTCGTGTAATAGCTTTTATTAGTTGGAGTAAATGTGTGTGTCTGAGAAAAGCTTGTCCTGCAGGTCAGGCTTTCTAGCTGGAGGTTTGCACGGTGGCGGTTCAGGCTGTGGTCTTTGTGCCTCCTTTAAAACCAAAAGCAAAGAAACAAACTTTAATGACATTTGTTATGGCTTTTATTAAATCTTTTGCATAGTTTAGATGGAAACAGATGTGACTTACCCGTGCCAGTTGGCCTGCAGTTAAGAAAAGAGGAGAAAGATGGTTAGAGTTGTGCAGTTTTTACCTTTATGAGTGTTTGAATTTTAGCACCTTCACCTGAGTTTATCTGGACTCCTCTTTCTCCAGCAGGCTTCTGTAGGTCGCAATTTCATTCTCCAGCCTCGTCTTGACATCCAGCAGCATCTTGTACTCCTGACCCTGCTGCTCTATGCTGGCTCGCATGTTGCTCAGCTCACCTTCAAGCATGTTGATTTGGCTCTGGTAGCCGGCGAGCATGGCGCTGTAACGGGCCTCTGTCTCTCCTAACGTGTTCTCCAGAGCCCCTTTCTGTGAGAGAAGATGGCAGGACAAATACAACAAATGAGATTGGAAGTCATTCTCTCATACGTGTTGCACTGTTTGCACTTGTGCAAACCAGTTACGGATCAAGTCTTTGATGCTGTTTTCTGTATGCGCCGGCCACACCCTGGATGCAACCGTCCCGGCACAAAAGGAAGATTGTTTGCTTTGAGTTTTACCTCATTTTCTGTGAGGATAAAAGGCTGCTGGGTTTGAATGAGCACACGTTTATCACTTTGCCTGTTGTCCGCAGGTTGTTTCAGGGAGTGACTAACTGCAGCTGAGAACAGATAAATCACCTCAGCATTCCTTCAGCTCTCCTCAAGCTCCTTTATGACTTTCTGAGTTTGAGCAGATGCCTGTGAAATGTTTTCCCTGAGCAGGAGCTCCTCCCCTTTTTCACCAACCCCCCCTCATCTTCATGCCTCCCTTCATTCTTTCAGTAATGCCTCCCCCACTTTCATCCTCCCCTTGTGCTCTTTTACCCACTATCTGTCTCCTCATTTTGTCCGGACTCGGCTCAGATCTGTGAATCTTGCTCATATAAGGCAGGATCAGAGATGTAGACACGTGGTTTTGGGTTTCAGGGTTACTTTTTCACATTCTCACCATGCTGAGCTGAGACTGCAGCTCGATTTCCAGGCCCTGGAGTGTGCGACGTAGGTCGTTGATCTCCGTCTTGGACGTCTGGATTGATTCTGTGCTGATGGCCACCTCCTTTGACAGAGTCGCCGACTGTGAGGAAAGACAAGGGCTGAGTCAAACTCCATGATTACATGTTTAACGTAGAGCAGATTAGGTTTAATCACAGCTTGAGCTGCTGAGAGGAGCAGTCATTTGCAACATGTGGGGTCTCATTGCTCTGTCATCATCTTACCTTCTCATTAAACCACACCTCCTGTTCTCTGCGATGTTTGTCGCTGATGGCTTCGTACTGGGCGCGGATCTCCTCCAAGACTTTGTTCAGGTCTTGCTGAGGCGCAGCATCCACCTCCACGTTGACCGTGCCGGTGAGCTGAGAGCGCATTGCTGCCAGTTCCTTTAAAAAAGAAAACAAGAGTTGATCATTAAGATCTGCGCACGGAGCCGCTCTGATCATGAGACGGTGTCAGTCACCTCTGCGTGGTTCTTCTTCAGGTAGGCCAGCTCGTCTTGCAGGCCTTCGATCTGCAACTCCAGGTCGGCCTTCGTCAGGGTGGTCTGGTCCAGGAGGCGGCGGAGGTTGGCGATGTCGGCCTCGACGGACTGGCGCATCATCAGCTCATGCTCGAACCTGATAAAGGTGCAGAGCACCGCAGTGAGAAACACGTTACAAACCTTTGCAGCTGCACGAGGAACTGGCCTTACTTGGTTTTGAAGTCATCAGCAGCCAGTTTGGAGTTATCGATCTGCAGCAGGATGTTGGCGTTGTCAATGGTGGCGCCGTTGATCTGATGAGCAGAGAAACAGACGTGTTATCAGTTACACAGTATGTTTGCAGTTACATGATCTATTTCCTCTAATATTTACTGCTTCTCTGATGCATTTAAATGCAGTACTTTTATGGAACTACCATGTGTTATGCATACTTTGAAACCTTTTCAAATCACACATCAGCCTCCTGAGTTCTTCCCTGAGAATCATTAACACCACTGCAAATATTTGACTTGTCTTGTGTTGAAACTGTAGAGGACAGAATACCTTGTCTTTCAAGTCGTTGATAATGGCCCAGTAGTTGCTGTAGTCCCTCTCAGCTGCCGGGCCCTTCTGCTCGTAGTACTCCCTGATCTGCTTCTCCAGCTTGGCGTTGGCAGCCTCCAGCGAGCGCACCTTCTCCAGGTAGGAGGCCAGGCGGTCGTTCAGGTTCTGCATGGTGGCCTTCTCGTTCAGGTGAACGCTGCTCTGGTCCAGGGCGTTGGACAGGTCGAAGCCGCTGCTGCCTCCATACCCGGAGGAGACGACGCGGGCGGTGGAGGCGGCGATGCGGGGGCCTCCCATGAAGCTGAGGCCGGATACGCTGTGAGCCTTGTGGGGAGCAGAGCTGGTTCTGTAGCTGTAGCTCCTCTGGGTTATGCCCTGGTTGAACATGATGGCTGGTTTTCTGCTGGTCAGGAAGCAACACGAGAAGAGAGAAGAGCTGTGAACTAAACAGCACTGTGAGGTTTGATAGAGCGAGGCAGGCTGTTGATATAGAGCTGGGTGTGGAGGCGGGACTGACCAAGAGGAGGGAGAAGGAAAGGAGGAGGTTTCCTCTGAAGCTTGGCCATAGGTTTGGCAAAAAACAAGTTTTTTTTTTCTTCTAAAGACTGGGGTTTGGTTTCTTTCCACTCCGGTGAGGAAACTGTTGTGGAATGTGAGTGTTTGAGAAGCTTCTGCTGGTTGGGATCTCTGAGACTTTAATATCTATATCCCTCTGCTCACATGAGACTCTGTGTGCTTTCAGAAATAGCAGCAGGTATTGTCTTGGACACAGCAATCATTTTGCATCTCAGTGCAAATAGAGGAGGCGTAGATTTATTGTTTTAGGGTCCCGCCGTTAGTCAACATTCCCAGTAAGCAGTTTGCAATGAAGTCATTTAGTCAGAGTTTATAAATTATAAAATACAGAGATAGCTTAAACTAAATAAATATTTGTTATCACCAACTGCCATAATAGCCAAACAAGCATTACTTGTAATTACCTGTATGTGCAAGGTGTTTGGCTGGTGGGAAAATATTTCATGAACCACGGATCTTAAAGAAACTCTGAGAACCACTGGACGTACATCTGCAATTGATTAAGTTTTTGGAGACAACTTTCTTTAATATGACCAGCACAGCCAACTGACTTTAGGAAACACACACACAAAAAAAAGGGCTAAAAATAGTCGATTTTTAAGAAACTGAGCTAAAGATTGCAGTGGTAGTACTTAAGGGTCACCCATAACACACACTTAAATTTCTAAATGATTGAGCAAGATTTTTGTTTTAAACTTTGGCATGGTGCGCGTCGCGCGATGCATTATACACTCCTACAGAGTGCTAGTTTTATTCTACGTATCTGTACTTTTACCTCTCATTCTTTACATAGGTGCAATTTGCATGGGGTTTGAAGAGGTTATGACCTCCACAATAATTTGATCCAGTCAATACCACCCCCCCCCCCCCAAAAAAAAAAATAAAATGACATCATTTGCTCTAACACAATAACATCCACCGGAACGCCCGCGTTCCATTTGACATATTTGTACTTTTCATGGTATTTTAGGTCTGAATGTTAGTACACAGCTGCAACTCTCTTGTTGTCTTTAGGTAACTTTGACCTGATGTCATATACAGTATGTACATTTTGTCATATACAGTATGTACATTTTGTCATATACAGTATGTACATTTTGTCATATACACTATGTACATTTTGTCATATACAGTATGTACATTTTGTCATGTACAGTATGTCCATTTAATTATAAGTACTGAAAATGACATGCAGTGTTTTGGAGCATAAGCATTGATAGACTTAAAGTTACGCCCTTGGTTCTTTATCAAAAAGCAAAACAAATCTTTAATTTGTAGAAGTATTGACCAGTTACAGGCTGTCATCCAGTACTTTTCCATAGATTAAAGAGAGGAAATTGTCTGTGAATCATATAATTCATCCTTTGATGTTTTATTACCGATTGGTTTTGTTTGAGTGTAATAATTAACTGGCAGAAGCGACGAGCAGGACGTTAATAAACCTGACTGATTGTTGGCTGCACAACAACCTGAAGGCCTTGAAACACAAACCGACATTGTTTTTAATGATTTCGGTCGAGTGGAGTTCTTCGGGACGCTATTGTTCACCTTATCATACACGACATCCCCCCACTTCAGTGTTTTGTGTGTGTTTGTGTGCCTGTGTGTGTGTGTGTGTGTCGTCCTTATCTCAGAGTTGGACCTGAGCCAGTTTCTGTACAGATGAGCAGAAACATCTGGACTCAGCTGGTGGGGAGGGGATGCAGATACGTGCGGGTCACTTTACAGTCAGGAGGAAAGCTGAACTTTTTTGTTTGTTTGTCAGAAACAAACCAGTTGGTGTTTACCTGCTTTAACTAACCTGCCTTTAACTTATGATCACAAAGGTGATGACGTGTTTGCCGCATATCAGAGATGGTCATCTTCAGGAGATGAACCAGCAGCTCATTCCAACAGGATCACTAACTGACTGTAATTACTCTGATGTGCTCACATTACTCAGAAACTATCTCATCAGGTCATCTCTGTGAAACATCAAGGATAATTGCTGCAGTTCAGTCGCTGAGCTGAGCCTTGGCAAATCCTGGACATGTTTTTTTTAACTCCAAGGTGGAGCTGAAGCATGAAAATGTTTTCTGTCTTCATCATGCCGAGCGTGATTCCTGCTTTTAGTATCAGTTTAAGTCAATCAGAAACTATTTCCATGAATTGTACAGAGTTTTAAAAGGTGCTGAGCTGAAATTATTTACTTGGTCAAATGAAAGGAAAACTTTTAAAACAAATAAGTTTTCAGCATATCAGGAACAATGTAAAAAAGTTGTGTGAATCTTATGTTCTGCGATTCTAAAACCAATTTATATGCACCAAATCTATTTACCACACGTTAGGTAAAACCTAAAAACAAAACACAACCTCTTTAAGGTCTTTTTGTCACAGTGAAACTGTGGGTCAGATATTCAGCAAACCTAATAACATATTCAGTGTATGAATCAAATGTGCATCTTTTTACAAATTCTACAAACTACATGAACAAATTTACAATGTATTTTGAATTAACAGTTAAAAACCTACAAGCCAAAAGCTTAGATTATCTGTTTTAGAAACAAAAACAGCAAACTCAGTGGCTTTTTTTTTCTGTTGCTCAAAACACGAATCGAAGCTTTTTATTGACCAAAATGAGTTTTATTATCGGCTGGAAAACAAAGTCCAGGATTATTGATGAACACATCAGTCCCCAGTCTGGCCTTTTCCTGTTAAAGAGGATGTTTAACTTTGTGAGATGTCTTATAGTGAAATGTTATTTGGTCAGTAATATTTGTTTGTGAGGGAAATGAGCTCAAACAGAAGAAAGAACATGACTGAACGAGTTGAGTTGAGTGAAGCTGCTGCTGTTTTAACAAAGGTCACTGTGTGTGACATGCAAATTCAGCTCCAACATAGTTTAACATCAGAGTCCTGCTTTACATGGCCTGAATAAGCGCACATCGGCATCTCTCTGTGCAGAGTTCCTGTGTTCTTCTTGTGCATGCAGAGATCCTCGTTTCCTCCTAAAGTTCAAAAACTTTCATGTTGGGTTCGTTGAGGGAAAGTCGGAATGGTCAGATGCCTTCCAGCGACTTCTGCATCCTGTCATCTCCAAACTTGTCCTGGCTTTTCTCTGGATCAAAACAGCTGAGGGGAGAGCTGGTCCTCCATATTTTCCCCTCTGGGCCAGACATCAGTGATGACGTCAGCCACAAACCAAAGCGCCGATAAATGCTGGACGCAACATCATCTCGTCCTAAAGCTGGATGGATGCCATCAACCTGAGGTGTGAGTGTGCAGAGTTGTAAAGTAACTAAGTACAAATATGTCTTTACTGTACTTAAGTAGAATTTTTTGGTATCTGTACTTCACTTTAGTAATTATTTTTCCTCCTACTTTTTACTTCTACTTCTTACATTTTCACACTATTGTCTGTACTTTCTACTCCTTACATTTTTAAAAAAGACAAGAAGTAGAAAGTCGTTACTTTTATTTCATTTTTGCTTGTTTTTATTCCAGCTTGTTATTGTAAAATATAAATACTATCCATATAAATTGTGCGTCCTAGATAGAGTGAATTTAACTGTGGTTGAATGAGAAGTATAAATACTGTATATAAAATTTTGATAGCGTATTAGTTTGTACACAAACAAATCATGTCACACTCCAGCAGGACATAATCATTAAAATAAAAGGACTGTACTTAAGAAGTATTTGTATTTCATTAATTATATTATTGTATTTGGCCGCAGCCCTCAGATAGATTTTCATTTTGGGGAAAAGGTTTGTGCAGCCTTGATATATGTATCTAAACTGAAACAGCTGGACAAGTGCATCCTAAATTTAACATAAATTATTATTTTAATACAACATAGTTATTTCTGCATTTTTTGGGGAGGTCACCTAATAAATGTCCTTACAGAAAATCTAACTGCTCATTTTAAATCAATACTTTTACTTTTGATAATTAATCACAAAAAATATCAGATACTTTCATACTTTTACTCAAGTAATATTCCTAAAGGAGACTTTAACTTTTACCAAAGTAAGTTTTATAAGATACTTGTACTTTTACTCAAGTAATATTCCTAAAGGAGACTTTAACTTTTACCAAAGTAATGTTTTGGTAAGATACTTGTACTTTTACTCAAGTATCACTTTGTGGTACTTTATGCAGCACTGGTGCAGCGTTGTCTGCACCCAGCTTTTTGTCCTGATAGTGAGGGAGAAAACCCAGATCTGAATGTTTTTAATAAACTGTTCTTCAGCAGCAACAAGGCGTTTAGTCATGAAAGTGGTTGGTTTGAAATTCCAAACAAGAGCATTTGTACAATGAAGAAGCTTTGATGATGATGAAGAACTCCAGATGCTGCAGTTCTGGACTGAATTGCTGGGCTTCCGCTAGTCATGAGGCTCTAATGAATTTGCAGGAGTCCTAAGATAACCACAAGCACAGCAAAAGCATTTAAACGCAACTTTGTCACAACCAACTTCAGTTATCTTCTAATGTTTTCAGAGATCGTTTTTTCCAGTTTTATTTTTTTTATCTGCTTGATACAGTATAGTTTTGTTTCCTGTTTAATAAAGTTAGAAACATTTTAGGTTTTGCCTTCTCTGCTGTCGTATTAAAGGCTTTTTGCTCTGTTCTTTGAAGGATACAAAGGGTTTTGTTCATTTGAGAAATGAGCGTCTGCAGCTCTAACATGATGTCACTGTTGTTAATGTCAATACGTTTATCATGCCTGGGGTCAAAGGTGACAATAGAAGTGGGTCTATGACATAGTTTTAAAGCAATTATATTCTGTCCATTCACACAAAAACACGGGAGTGGCCTTTGAAAATGAATTTTATACATTGTTTCTGTGTAGATGGGATCTTAGATCAGGATTTGTTCTGAGCTGTTTAAAACAGTCTTTGTGTTCAGTCTCACTCTTCTGGATATCCTTTTGTCTTCAGACACATTCCGCTCTATACAGCCTGCTGATGACGGGGTTTCCACCATTATTTACTGGTGGCAGGATCTTTTTTTTTTTTCCTTTGAGCTTTCTTTTGTTACCTATAAACAAAACGATAAACGGCATTTCCAGAGTGCTCCACCGCGGTTGCTCTGTCAGAAGATGTTTATCAATCTGACTGCAGCCTTTTCTTTGTTAAACATGGGTTCTTTTAATGCGTGCCTTTCTTTCAGCACTGGTTTTCTTGATCTCTTGGCTGGTTTTTGCCATATTTGCACAAATCTCCCTGGACTTGCAGAATTCAATCTTGGCACTATTTCATACAGTGGGGTAAAGACAATGTTGAAACTAAGCTTTAAAAATGTTGGCAGCTCCTTTTCTAGCCTTTAGACCAGTGATGCTGTGACGGCTGGCTTCGTTTCAGCATCGTGGAAAAAAAAAACTAGAAATAACTTTTCAGAGATCAGAGTTTATTTGTGCAGCTCCTGATATGTTCAATCTCTGCTGGTTTGTCAGCCATATTATGAAAACAATGAATCCTCGCTGAGACTAAGTCCATGGTAAAAACTACATGAAGAAGGAAGATGCTGAAGTGTCTCCTGAGTGTTGTTGAAGCAATCCTCCTGGTCCGAGACAGAAGATTCTCTGATTCTGGACTCAAGTTTCAAAGTCCCAAAATAAAAAATCCTTTGTTTTATTGAGGGGGGTTACTGTTATTGTTTGGTTTATGAGTCACCGTGGACAAGTTCTGGCACAGTAGCCGAGAAACAAGCAGGTACCGACAAATTCCTCAGGAAGACAAGATGATGACGGATCACTGGTTTTYAAATGGACGACTTCGTGTCTTCTTTGGGTTGGTCATTGTGGACGGGCGTTTTCACTAAAACAACATCATGACTCAACAGCTGAGGTGCATCTCAGGAGGTGAAAACTCAAAGCGCCACTTTCCTTCRTTGTTTGTATTAATAAACAGTTCATTCATCCATTTTTTTTTACTCACTTCTCCTTTCAAGGTCGCAGGGAGCTGGTCACACCCGGGACAGAACGCAAGTCCATTAAAAACTGGACAAAACCATTCTCTCTCACGCACATCTTTGGGGCGCCAAGTGTAAAAAGAAATGTTAAAAAAAAAATCACTAACATATTTTTCATTATATAGCTCACTGTTCTTGAATTGAGCTAATCTTTGCTAAATGTTAAATTTAAACGTCAAAAATATATTTAAATATTAAATCCTAAATCTAAATGTTTGAATCTAAGCGTAAACATTTAAACTTTAAATGTTAAAGTTCACATTTATGTATTTTGGAATGGAACGCAGCCTTTGTTGTTGGTGTTCGGCTCATATTATGACATCATCATTCTGAGACAATTGCAACCGCTAGCGCTCCACTGCAGCTAAAGCTTCCCTACTTTTCCCTACTTCTTTTGTTACCTATAAACAAAATGATAAATGGCATTTCCAGAGTGCTCCACTCCGGTTGCTCTGTCACAAGATGTTTATCAATCTGACTGCAAAGGATTACAAGGAAGGGTTAGCTGAAGTTAGCATCAGATAACAAAAATGATGTCATCATCCTGCAATAAACATCAACAATAGCTGCTGCTGGCCACCGCTAGCTGCTGTTAACACTGCTAAAAATAATATCTAAAACCTAAAATGAAAATGTGTTTTAAAACAGCAGTTTGAAGTGCAGCTCAAACACTGACTGCATCTGCACGTTTGTTTGATGTCTTATTTATTTAATGATATCTTGTCACTCGATGCTCCAAAGTCTTTTTCTTGCAGGGAAGTTTTAGCTGCGTTGGAGCTCTAGCGGTTGCTCTTGTCCCAGGATGATGATGTCACAGCAAAGGCTGCATTCCATTCCAAAATACCTAAATGTGAACTTCAATATTTAAGATTTAACTTTTATATTAAGGATTCAATATTCCTTTTTTTGTTTTGTTTTGTGTTACATTTAAATTTAAAATTTAGTAAAAAAAAATAGCTAAATGTAAGAACAGTGAGCTAAATGACAATTAAATGTTAATTGAAAATGTTTAACACTCAAAACTAAATAATGAAAAATATGTTAATGATTTTTTTTAACTTGGTGCCCAATACACCTAGGGACAATTTAGACCTACCAGTTAGCCTAACATGCATGTTTTATGTCTGTATCTGGAGAAAACCCACGCATGCATGGGGGGAACTTGCAAACTCCACCTAGAAAGTGGTAGAAGATTATCCTGGAACAGCTTCACCACCGTGCCGCACCGTTTCACGATATTTTCAGTAAAACCTTTATCATTTCAGTGAACGAGAAAAAACAAGTATTGACCGTGTCTGCTCATGAACACTCCAGACTGAGATTAAGATACTTTTTACCGTCTGGATCAGTGGGAGTGAGAGCAGAGTCTACATTCTGGAGTTTTTACCCAAAACAAACTGTGGATTGGAGATATCCAGTCGTGTCAGAGCTTTAAGTAAACATCACTTAGTCGTTGAAATCTGTGTAAGCTTTGTTCTAACTGCGTCACAATCTTAATATTTCAACACACGTCTTAGTTAGAGGTTATTTGACTAATACAGGAGTAATTAACCATGTGAGTCAGGACAAACACTCCACCTTGCTTTCTTTCTGTCAGTATTCAGATTAGATTCTCCAATTAAACTTTAACAAGAAACTTTTTAAAATAATAAAAAAGGATGCAATCAGCTTAGATGGTGCAGGGATTTTGAACTTTTGAACGTTTTCTTTTGCGAATATGTGAATTAATCTAGACTACTGTACACAGGACTGTGATTACCCAATAACAACCAAACAAACTGATAATTAAAACAACAACAATGTGATTTATGACTAACAGTTAGTAGCAGGGCGGCTATGAGAAGCAGACTCGTTTGTAACTGAAAGATTATCTCCAACAATAAAGGTTGATTCCTTCATTCACTCTGTTCTGGTCTGATGTCCTTTTTTAAGCTGTGAAGAATGTAGGAAGAGTTTCTTTTCTATTTAAAGGCACAGAAAATTGAGACTCGAGAAAAAAACATTGTTCTTTCTAAAGGGAATACTTTACGCCCTCAAACTTTGATGTTCACTCAAGTCCTTGTGGGGAGTTGTAAGCACTGCCTGCCCTTTTAGCATCACATTTATCTGCAATGTGCATTATTTTCTTTATCCTTATGCAGAGGGAACGAGCTGCATCATTCTGGAGCTGAAACTAACTGCATTACTTGAAGCAGTTGTTCTTAATTTGTTTTAATATTTATTTTTAATGTTTTCCTTATTTGATATTTTGGGAACGATGGATTGTATTTGCTCCTGACCAGGTTTCTCTTGAAAAA